ATAGTAACCGCAGGAGATGAAATTAAAATATATTTCATTTATACTATATATTTACACGAACAATTAATATCGAATTCTTGGTATAATTTTTTTATCGAAATATATTATTCAACGAATATAATACAACGTGAAGTGTGGAATTCACAGAATATAATATATATAATATAATATCATAATATGTGTACAATGTGCAGAATAAAATCGGTTTTATTAAAAAGGAGAAATTTCTTGTAAAGTATAGACGTCTTATAAATATTATGTATAATAGGTATATGATACAAGTCCTAATACACGTTAAGGTGTTGATAAGGGGTCTGTAGTATATTTTGACAAGTCTATAATAGAGTCTATGAATATAAATCTAGAAAATAGTTGCAGAGATTCTTTTTATGAACACTTAAAAATTTAAAAAATTTCATGTACACCTTACATTATGTGTATTACAGAAAGCTCTGAATACTTTTTCAAATGAGGTGATTTATCAATTTTTTTTTATGTCAATATTGTTTGGACCTAGGGTTATGATACTTATTTTGAATCCTACCTCAACACTTATATTATGAAGTCTGTATATTTTTTTCATTTATCAATTTAACAGTAAGAATACAACAAAAGCTAATGTATGAAATATGTATACGATCTACTGCAAAGGCTTAGTATTGTACGTATCTAAACCACAGATCATGTTATATTTGAGAGAGAAAGTGAAAAAGTATGTAAAGTATAAAAATATATATTATACATATCCGTTTAAAGTGTATGAATAAAAAAACTACGTATATACTGTATGTGTTATATAAACATGTGTAATGTAACCGTAATTCAACAGCTGACATTAAAAGTGCAAAGTGTATAATATTATAATAGAAAAATTAAAAGCTCGTTTAAAAAATAATAAATATAAAACGTTTTATCTAATCCGTAATTTAACTTATATAATTTAACTTAGATAAAAAAACTTAGAACACAACTTTACATCAAGTTATATATATATATATAGTATATTATTTTCATAAACTTATATTATAGTCTATGGCAATAATTATATTCATAATTATATTCACTTGACATAAAGTTGGGTTCTAAGTTCAAAATCGATGGCTATTTCGTATTATCATTTAAATCATTATATTAACACTGGGATAGCAATATTTAAAGAATATATAATAGGAGGATAAGTATTTTTAGATTTTTGTAAATGATATAGAGAAAAAATATAATCAATATATCTAAGTAAAGAAAAGTGTATTACTTTAAAATTTAATTTTTATGTATTTTCATTATTAGTTATTTCATGATAAAAATAAAAGGGTTTTAATTTAAAAAAAGAGTACTTAAATTACTTCCATATCAATAACATTTTTAAATTTGTATATAAATTACTTGTTTTTTAGAATTAATTTCTTTAATATATGATTTTTTTTTTATAAATAAATTACCGAAATAACTATTTTTTTACCTAAAAACAAAAAGTGTTAACAAAGCAGCTGTTATAAAACAGAATTAAAGCTACCTCTCTTTAATTTTGTTTTACTACAATTATTATAACATTAATTTTGTATTCTTAAATAATATATGTTGTAATTCTACTACAATCGTAAAGTCACATTATTGTTAAATATAATAATAAAATGGATAAAACGATTCAATAAAATACAATTATTTCTAGTTACAAAGATACAACGCCAAAGCCGTCTTTGGATATGCAGGGGCCTTTGGGTTCACTGAGTTTATAGGTCTTTTTAGGAGCAAAATGTCGATAGTTATTTCACATTTTATACAAATTCCCAAATTGTAAAATTTGGAATTCGAAGCGATATTTTTAGACCTACCTCTTAGTTTAAAAATATATCAAAAATGCTATTTTATCGTGAAAGTATAATAGAACCATGTAGTGGCCTGTCATTGTAAGTCGATAACTTGTTAATCAAATTGATCGCTAATGAAATAATCACATCGTTTTTGCAACATTTGAATTTTGGGCAGAATATTATTTAATAAAATTTTTAAATTATAAATTATTGTGTAAGCCTGTTCAGTGGCGTACATTCGATCTTGCTCTGGGGGGGGGGGGGTTAAACAAAAATAATCATTATCTTTTTTTTTTCGTTGTACAGATAAATAAGATAAATAATTGCTATAGACAGTTATTATTTTATACAACTTTTTTCCAATTTACAGTTTACTTTTACATTACAGTAATTTAATAGCTATTGGAATATAAAAACAGCATAGTTAACAAAACTTTTCAAACACCTATCAATAAAATTATTTAATTATTATAATATTTGTATAGTTGTATATTTTATGTTCAAAGCGTAATAATGAAACTACGAATATATTACACGTCATCAATAATAAAACAATTTTTTTTTTTTTTGGCCCTGGGGGGGTTTGAACCCGGAAACCTTCCCCGTATGTACGCCACTGAGCCTGTTAGTCAAATACATAGTTGAAATGAGTTTCGCCAATATGTTACAACGTAATGATGTAAATTATATTTTCCGAAGCCTCTTTCGGTCAAGAGCCCCATTAGTTCGGGGGCTGTGGGCTTGTCACTCACATGCCCTTAGGGAGATGATGGTATTGTACGACATGTTTTAATATTTACATTTTTTACTTAAAAAATAAAACATTATGTATGGATTATATATGGTATGAAAGTAAACCTGGCAGTCATTGTATTGAGGAGGATTGAAATTTTGCTTTGGAAACTCCATTTCAGTTTTAGTGTGGAGAAACAAATCTATATCGATAATTTTACTATTAATATAGGCAATTTCATTAAAACAATATCCCGTATCAATTTGTATATTTTCAAATAATTAACTTTCGTTTCGGTGAATTAATTTACCATAGTCTACTGATTTGTGTTTTGAAAATTATGGAACCGCAGATGGGGGGCATATTGAATGATAGCGCCATTCGGAAATAACAGTAAAACTATTCTGATCATATATTAATGTATTATGCACCAATGTAAATGTCCAGAGAACAAAATTACTGTTTATAACTTTTGGTATGATGTACATTAAAAATACACTTAGAAGAATTATATATTATTCAAGTTTTTGAATCTTGAAAGAAGATATTTTAAAATTTAAAGTAACTAGAAATATTAGTTTACAAAACGATATTCACTCGTATATGTGACCAGTGTTGTGCTTAGATAAAAAAAAAATTATCTAGATATAGATAGATAAAATCACTTTTATCTAGATATAGATAGATAGGGTTACCATACGTCCGGATTTCGTCTGGACAGTCCGAATTTCAAACACCTGTCCGGATTGGCGTCCGGATTTGAAAAATGTCCGGATTTTATAAAGGTAACCGTTTAACGTGGTTATATTGATACAAAAAATGATGTTTGGTGACAGATTTCCGGGTTCACTTTGTATAAATTAATAATATCTAATTTCTATTTTTATTCATATTTTTTTCCAGAACGTCACTATAAGCGAATATTCATTATTATCGTCGTTGCCATAAAATAAAATAAAGTATTATCAAATGTAGTCCTACTAAATAAGTATTTGTGTGTTTAATTCGTTCACATATAATGTGTACTGGAAAACGACCCGTATAAATCGTAAAATTCACTCGACAGTCGACGCTTCGACAGTTTCTTTTCTGTTTTATGAATGAAGAGGTGGTTGTTATTTGTTTTTCTTGTAATTGTGTTTTGCTTGAAATATTAAATATTATAGTTTTGTTAATTTATGGTACTACGTCTTCAAAAAATGCCTAAACGTAAGTGTGTTTTTACCGACAAACTAAAAGAAGAATATAAGTTTTTAAAACAGTGTCAAAATAGTAATGACCGCGTGAGATGTTCGACATGCAATTCCGAATTTTCTGTGAAGCATATCGAGGATGGTATGATATTGAAAATCACATACAAAGTGACAGACACAAAAAGGCTAGTCAAGCGGTGTCCACAGCAAGTATTAAATCTTTTTTTAAACACATTGACGCTACAAATGACGAATTGCAGTGTGCGGCCAAAGAAGCAACTTTTACTTACCACACTGCCGCCACACATGGATTAAATTTTAGAACGTCCGACTGTACTGTCAAACTTATTAAAAAGTTTTTTGAGCCCAAATATTCAGGAGCTAGGACTAAAACGGAAGCAATTATTGTAAATGTTATATCTCCTTACATATTTAATGAATTACTTAAAGATCTCAAAGATGTAAATTTTGTTACATTAACGATTGACAGTTCTAACAGAAAAGAAATTAAACTGACTCCCGTATGCGTTCGTTATTTTAACCAAAATGAAGGAATTAAGGTTAAACTTTTATATTTTGATCAACTTCCGGGTGAAACCTCTGATATTTTGGTAGAACATCTTTTAAAATGTATTAAAAAGTATTCTATTGATTCAAAAGTTGTTTGTCTTTGTGCTGATAACACTAATACTAACTTCGGTGATGTAAAAAGAAAAGGTCAAGGAAATGTTTTTCGAAAACTGCAAAAATCTTTGTCTCGTCCTATTCTTGGAATTGGTTGTGCGGCTCATATTTTACATAACACTGTCCAGACAGCATGCGATGCTTTGTCCATTGACGTTGAGGTAATAGTAGTAAAAGTCTATAAATTCTTTTTTCAGTATACTGTCAGAGTGACTGCGTTAAAATAATTTTGCGAATTTGCAAATATAGAGTATAAAAGAGTCCTATTACATGGAAATACGAGATTTTTGAGCTTATTACCTGCCATAGAACGGATATTGTTATTGTTTGACGCCTTAAAGTCGTATTTCATGGCTATTGAAAACTGTCCTGCTGTGTTACTTGCATTTTTTAAAGACCCAGTATCTGAACTTTTTTTTAAAGTTTGTGCATGGAACTGTTCAAATGTTCCAAATATCTATTCTTAAACTTGAGTCTGACTATATAACTGCTTCAGAAGCAACACAAGTGTATGAAGAATTAGTTATCAAACTAGAAGAACGGAAAGCAAATAACTTTATACCATTTGCAGCTAACCAACTACTTGCTAAACTTAAAGATGATAATACAATTGATGTTGATAAGGAAAATCATTTTACGTTCAATTGAAATAATTGCCAAATCAGAAAGTCGGTCTTGCACCATTGTTGTTCTCAAATAATTCTTAATGGTTTTTAACTTCGAAAAACTTCTCTCAGCACTTGCAGTTGTTATCGGAAGAGTTAATAATATTTTTAACGCGATAGAAATATTTGGAAATGAACCACATTTTGATTCTATTAAATCAAGACACTGGATACTGGTTTTTTGTTTGTTCAAAATTCTACAAAATATTTTTAACTCGTCAAAAAGTTCAATTCCATTTATATCGCAATTTTCGCCGTCCTTTAAATATATTTCTAAATCCATGCAATGCTTTCGTAATGTTTCATCTTCAAATAACTTCAAATGTTCAATATTATATAAAAATCCAAAGTTTTCTGAATGTTGAGATAATTGCTTGAATCGTTGATTAATTGATACAATTGCTTGATCTACCACTGTCAAAAAATAATCATGATACAATTTTTGTTCGTTAGAAACTGTACGTGTATCATTACATTCATAATCAAACTGCTTACTTTTTTTTAGAACTCTAGATTGTTTAAAAATTGGTTGAGTTCCAATATCTTCACAAAATTGTTGTGCAGTTTTTTTTGATAACTCAAACCCCTTTTCTCTAAAATTATTAAAAAAATCTTGAAGACCACTTAATAATTGAACAGCATTACTCAGTTCCATGGTTTCACTCTGAAGACTCTTACTAACTTTATTAATAGCAGATAGTAGTTCATACAAAATAACAACACTTAAAATAAAATCATAAGAAAATTCATAATTTGCCAAAGGCAAACTTTCACTTTTTATCTTAGGATCCTTTGTTAACTCACTGACTTCTACTAAAGCATCGTGTACTTGGCCTAATTGAAAACGAATAGGTTTAATCGATTCGACCCGAGATTCCCACCTGGTATCTGACATTGGTTTTAAAGTAAAGTGTTCGATATGAATCGTAGACAGTCGAGGGGGACCACTTGGTATGACCAAGAACGAAAAAATTAAATTTGTATTAAACGCCTTCTATCTACCGTATAGGCAACTCAACGTCGTGCCGCCTGTGAGTGTATAGAGTCGGCAACCCAATGTGCACGACGACGACTGTGACCAGGACGGATGACGATAACTTAACACTAGCACGGGAAAGGGGAAGTTGAGTTTAGTTATAAGGGGGGGGTCTCTGTGGTCGAATCGTTCTGGTGCAATGACCACAGAGCTCACACACAAATCGGACGAAAACCTTATAAATTAAACATTCAATCACAACTTAAATTACTTTACGACATTATGGTGAATCTGAACAAAAATGGTAACTGACAGTAACTGTGATAATGGCAATCGACGTTCTGGACGGTCTCTCACCTACCACACCGGACGCTGATGGATTTATGTATGACGGTGGACGATATGACGACCTGAACGATAATTAGGTAGATTGTGGTCACGCAGACAAAAATAAATCACAATAACGAAAATGAGATCTTTTGGTTTTTATTGGTAAAACGTTACTGTGGTGAAAATAATATATTATTATAAAACACAATTTAATATTACTTGAAGTCACATCGACCAGAATAATAATAATAATAAGTTGCCGCAATGGCGAACAAAAACAAGAAAAAGAATAATAATAATAAATGGTGCTTCAATAGCGAACGAACGACGACCGAACAACGAAAAAATCACAATAGTTGCCTCAATGGCTAACGACGAACGACAGAAAGAATAATAATTTGCACAATATAACACACGACAATAATTAATAATAAATAAATAAGAAAATAACAGGTAATTAAAATTCACATATATACAGATAGGGAACCGAAAGAGGGAAACAGATAAGGAAAAACGAGTCGCAGCGTTGTCGTGCACAATTGATTATCGCTCGACTCTATACCGGTTGCCGGCTACATCCATCGGCGTAAACAGTAAAGTCTGAAACGTATTTTAAAAGAATAGTTCATCTTTCAGTAGAAGCACTGAACATTGTATAAATTCTTTGAATTATACCAAAAAAATGTCATAGCAGCTGGTACAGACGATGCCATGCCCCCGAGAAGTAAATTAACACTGTGCGCAGTGCATGGTACAAAAAAAAAGCTCTTGGGTTCTCTGAAATAATTCGAGATTGTACTCCCTGTTTTCGGCCGACCATATTTGCCCCATTATCGTATGCTTGACCACGGCAATTTTTCAGGTCCAAGTTCATTAATTGTAATTGTTCTTTTATTTCCTCTGTTAAATTTGAGCCAGATTTATTTGAAGTGTGAATAAAGCATATAAAATATTCATTTATTTCGTATTTCAAATTTTTCGAAATTTCTACAATGCGTAAAAGAAATGTAAGCTGCTCCTTATGACTTTTATCAGGTGTTCCATCTAATAAAATCGTGAAGTATTTACTCTACTGCTACTACCATTGATTATAGAATAGATAGATAGTCCATGGTATAGAGATATTAGGCTACTAAAATTATGTTTGTTCTAGCTGTCGATAGAATGCGTTGTATAATAGAAAAAATAATTATTTTACAATCTGTATAGATAAATACAGAACGAGCATCGAGCGCTGCCGCACTGGGCGGGGTGGGCTACGGGTGCTCATAACTCAGTATTGCATTGCGCCATTGTGATCAGAGTTATTTATACATTTTATTGATTTTTAATTCCTAGCACTCGTACCTAATGATTTACTATTTTAAATGATATGATTAAATTGATAATTAAATATGATTAAATCCGTTTACGGCGGAATTTCACAGATTTTACCGAAATTCTCAGTTTTTCAACAGTTTCTCACAATTTGTTCTAGTAGATGTGCATAAAGAAAAAATACAATTACTTCTTATCGAAATCCTAATCGCTCTGGCTGTTGGATTCTTGTTATAACCACCCTTTTGTCGAAAAATACTAAAAAGATTTTCTAATACATCCTGATTCAAACTTAACATGAACTTAGTGATATAGTTTTTTATATAGATTTACCGATATTGTTCATTATAGGTACCTACACCAAAACTCCAAAACCAAAAATTAGTTTATATGTGTTTGATAAATAATATACAAATAACAAAATAAGTTGCTAATAATGTTGTAATAAGGTTCACAGAGTAAATCGTAAAATATTAACGAAATAATGATAATAAAATAATAATCACTAATTTTATCGATTATAATGGGAATAAATATAATGGTACTTCAATTTTTCATTATACATGAAAAATAATTCTATAAATAGAAAGACGGTATTTTTCGCCGATCCACTTCCCGTCTTCATGACTATCTATGATAGAGGTACCACCTCCTTGCATCACAGCGACGCCAGTGCTCCATAGCGGTTGCATCTTACGAGTAGTCGCCAAATATTAACATTGTGTTGACTATCTATCTATTCTATAATCAATGGTATAATATAATACTACGATAATATCGTATTAGGTCTTTGGATCTAATTTTTGTTATCTGCTTATTTTGTTGGGTTTTTTTTTT